CTTCTTTATATGAACAAAACTATTTTTTTTGCACTTGTAAATTTATAAGGATATTTTTTTCATATTTTTATTAACATAATAGTTGATAGACAATGAAGACTTTTAATATTTATAGTCTTTACAATTAACGACTTGAGCTATGGTAAAATCATTAATTAATCATTATCACTAACTATTAACAACACCAATTATTAACAACATCGAGAGGGTTTAATTCCTGCTCCGAAATGCACAATTCTATCTTTTATGTTTCATTTGCATATTTTCTATTAATTACTCTTCAGGTAGAATAGCTTTCATATTTGCCAATATTGATCACTATTAGAACAAATTTCTTCTTGAAAAAAGTTAATAAAAAAATATGAACACAAAACTTATTCCACAGTACTTTTTAGTTAATTAATAATTAATATAAATCTAAATGATATTTTTTAATCTAGATTCATGAAAATATTAATTTATTTTTCTTTATCTTAAGTCGCAGACTTCTCGTTCTTAAATTTTCACACGTGTTATTTTTTCGTTGTTACTTAATTTAAATATCGTCGCAATAGACGACAAGACTGCCAAAGAGGCAGATGACAAGGCTACCAACAATGGCAGATGACAAGACTGCCAAAGAGGCAGATGACAAGGCTGCCAACAACGACAGATGAAAAGACTATCATCAATGGCAGAGGCGGATTCGCAGTAGCATATAAGGCGGGAATAAAAAAAACCCTTTTAGAGACAAAAAGTGTGATAAAATCATCAAGAAATACAAATCTCACCGAAATGGCAGATGACCAACCACATGAAGATTCGCAAGAGGCTGACACGAACTGACAGAGAAAAAGACCCATAAAAATGCATCAAAATAGTGGGTAATGGATAGGGTATAGAGGAAGTGTAAATTTGGGAATAAGGATATGATGAGTCTCTCGCTAATAATGGAAAAGAGACTGGACCCATCCTTATTAAAATAATCGTAGAGGAGGTTATCACTAATAGCCCCATTTTAAATAGCTACTTGTGTTGTTCCTGGCAAAATTTCCGCAAATTATAGATTTTGGAGGAGCAAAATAGGCTTCAAATAATTAAAACTAGCAATTCCCCCGTAAGATGCACGGGTATCATAAAATGAAGTTATATCCACCTTAATATAAGTAAATGAGGTGGGGGATTTTCCTAATTATCCATACATATCGGTCAAATGTTAGCTAATATAAAATGTGTAAGGGGTATAAGTGATTTTAGATATTATACAAGTTTGTGTGTAATCATATTTAATCTCAAGGAATGCATCTGTAATTACACCATGCTCGGGAGGACAAATCCATGCAATCTAGAAAATAAAGCCCAAAATTCCCTATTGAGTTTGACGCGCGGGTATGCCAAGCAGCAAAAGTTTTTCGTAAGTCAAGTCATGTAATCAATTTTGACAAACGACCCTGACTTTTACAACTATTACCGCTGACCGTTGACCGCCGTTAATTGTTTTTAAACTTTTTTTTTCGGCGTTGACTTTGTTTTAATATTGTCTTTTACGTCGTTTATCGATATTGGATTGTCAGTTAACAATGTTAGAACTATAAAGCTTGACAGCATCAATGCTATAAAGCACGATTTTGGAATGATAAGATATCTTTTGAGGAATGGTCAAGTCTTGGAGAGGATGGAAATAGTGTATCCATGTTGCTATAATCCGTTGGAAACAGTGTATAAGCTCAAGGAAATCTTATTGTTTGAACGAGGATCCACGGCATGTGTAGTTACTTTTGTTTCTACATAGTAAGGTGGCTGCATATTAATCACAAGTTGCAAGTCTTTATGTCTAATTTGGACAAAGATTGTTGTTCATGAATTGCTTTATGCATCTATAAACCTTTTTCATATATTTCATGTTTGTGACCTACAAAATTCCGAATAATAATAGTTCTGGTCCCCTAATTTTGCACATTTTTTCATTTTCGGTCCCTTATTTACCGTCTTTAACAAAATACACACTAATGTTGTCACATTTTAACACATTGAGTTCGTCCGTCTGTTTGACCATCAAGAAGTAACACTCAATTGTAGAATTATGGTTGAATTTGGGGTTTTTCATTGAGAAAATTGCACTCAGACCCCTGCATTCTTTTAAAGTATTCTAGAAACCCCTAAAATT